GCATTTTCTATCTCATGCATTGCAAAATATAGTTTCATGTTCATCTCATGTGACATTCTCCATTTTGTTTATTTTAAATTTCATTTTTCATCTCATGTTTCACAAAAAAAATTGCAAAAAAAAAAAAGGTAAAATTCCATCCATATTCATTACATTACATCTTCCATCTCATATAAAAATTGCATAAAAATATAAAAAAAAAATCTCATTCACATGCATTTCACACTGCATTTTCTATCTCAAATTTTCATTCCAAGCATTATTATCTCTATCTCATATTTCTCATATTTCATAAGAGTTGCATAAAAAAAAATTAAATTAAAATTAAAAATGGTGAAAAATGAAAAAAATGAAAATTTTATTCATAGTGCTAGTTTTCCTCTCATATTTCTTCATCTCATCCTTTTCACATTTTGCAAACAAAAAAATAAATAAATAAATAAAGGGGGCATGAAAATGAAAATTTCTTCTATGTTCATTTCACATCCCACTTTCATCACATATTTCATTCCAATCACCGCTATTTTCCATCTCATAGTTCAAAAACAAGTGCATAAAAATGAAAATGAAAATTTCATTCACATGCATTTTGCACTACATTTCACATTTTTTTTAAAAAAAAAAGAAAAAAAAAGAAATGGAGGTTCTTCAAAGATAAATTCATGAAAAATCCATCTTTTAAGCATCAAAATAATTTGAGCACATGATTTTGGAGCATCACATCATCCATTTTCTCCAAGCATTACACCATTCACTTTTTCTTCAAGCTTCATGGCATTTGCATTCTTTTCAAAGGAATGATATTTCCCATGAATGCCAATTTAGTGTTCGCAATGGTGAATCATCAAAAAAAAAAAAAAAAAAATTCATGTTCTAGGATACAATTTCACACACATTACCACTTGTCAGCATATTTATATTCTTGTATCCTTTATCTCTCATTTCCCATCAATGTTTATTTCTTTTCTTGCATTCCCAAAAATGCATGCTTTAGGATACAACTCTACACACATTATCACTTTAGAGCATATGTATCTTCCTGCATCCTTTATCTATTGTTTGGCATCCATGCTTATTTCTTTTCTTGCACTCCCATAATCTTGTTTGATTCTCTGCCTTTGATAATTGAAATATGGATTCATACCTGGTCAAGCGCGATTTTTCGTCGATCAAGACCTTTTGAAATATTCATCCATGGAGAAGGTTTTGACCAACAGAGGATTGAGGAGATCTTTAACTACAAGCATTTTTCTCCATCGTGGACAATTGCCAAGTCCAAGGGGCAAGCTTAGAAGATCAAAAGCTCGAAGATCAAAAGCTCAAGCACATCGCACTTTATATGGCTCTAGCAATCAAGGGATTCTCCAAGGAAAGGAATGCGACTACTCATTGAACAATCATACTTTGAGAGATCTAGGAGTCAGATTTTGCTAGGAACTTGAATGCTACCATGTTGATGTACTTAGTGTGATGTACTAGGCTTTTGCTTTGTAATGAATGACCATCTTTGTAATGCATGTTGAATTGCTTGTAAGTGTCTTTTCTATAGCCCTCGGAGTCTATGGAAATCTCAAGGCATTCAAAGATATTTTGCTTCATCCGAGGCTCCTTAAGGATTGGAAATCAACAATGTATGAATCCATATAGCAACTGTTGAAGCACTAAATCATGCAAAATTATGGGATGACTTCTAACATTATTCTAACTTTGTTTATTTTTCTTTTATTTTTTGTTTGTAGGTAGGTTTCATAAACTACTTCAAGAACAAAAAACAAAAAAAATCAGGCATGATAGTCTCCCTATGTTTTCTCACTCTTTGGAGCAATGCATCATCCATCTAGAAGGCAACCTTTAACATACTCTTATAAGCTCACCAAGATATGATGTTGAAGTGGACTTACACGCGAGACATGTGGATCTAGATTCAATGAATGAGGGGGCAAATCTAGGACATGGGGAAATTTGAGTATTATTGTTCTTAAGGATGAACCCCTATTTGACTTGACCATTACTTTTGCCTTGGGGACACTTTGGCCAATTGGACAGTCAAGCTTTTCTCTGCTTCATTCATCCAT